GCCAAGCCTCTTCATTCATTCTTTATGAGGTTTTTGTTTCTAGTCCTTATCTTAAACATTGTTATTATTGGTAAATTTTAAGTCTTTTTAATTTTGTGAATGCAAAAAGTGGAAACCTAATAATCACATGTATGTGTAAAAATAAAAAATAATAAAAATGAAAATAAAAATAAAAAAAATAAAATATTTACACTGCAATCTTTAACTCAGTGGCTTTGCTTCAGAAATTTATCAAAGAGAAAAGAATGTGAAAAATGCAAAAGATAAAAAAAAATGCAAAAGATACACATGTAAGTATATTTGTAGTAATGTTTTTTTTCTGAGACAAAGTCTTACTATGCTGCCCTTGGTAGAGTGCCACGGCATCACAGCTCACAGCAACCTCAACCTCTTGGGCTTAAGCAATTCTCTTGCCTCAGCCTTCCAGGTAGCTGGGACTACAGGAGCCCGACACAATGCTCAGCTATTTTTTCTGTTGTTGTTAATGCAATTGTAATTGTTGTTTGCAGGCCTGGGGCGGGTTAGAACCTGCCAGCCCTGGTGTATGTGGTCAGTGCTCTGACCACTGTGCTATGGGCACTGAGCCAGTAATGTTATTTTTCAATTGAAAATTGAGGGAAATAATTAGGGGCTGGCTAAATTATACATATATAAAGTAAAAACACAAATGAAGAATAGCTCTCTCTCTATATATAAATGGAAAGATATACGTGACACATTATTGAGAAAGGTAGATTATGAGCCTGGCATGGTGGCTCACACCTGTAATCCTAGCACTGTTGGAGGCTGAGGCTGGAGGATCACTTGAGCTCAGGAGTTGGAGACTAGCCTGAGCAAAACCAAGACCCTGTCTCCACTAAAAATAGAAAAACTAGTCAGGTATTATGGCAGGCACCTGCAGTTCCAGCTACTCAGGAGGCTAAGGCAAGAGGATCACTCGAGCCCAACGGTTTGAGGTCGCTGTGATGTGTGTCGTTGTGTCACTATGATGCCGCGACACTCTACTGAGGGTGACAAAGTGAGACTTGAAGATATACCCTAAACTTTAACCACTGTTTCTAGCTATTGTTATGGCAGATTGGTAAGACACTTTTCATTTTCTATTTTATATGCTTCTCTTTTGATTCTCTATTGTTTGTAATGAGCATTTATTAAGTTTAAGAAGTCATTTCATTTTCAAAGTTCCAGAAATAAATATAATTGTCTGGTTCAGCTATTAGAATGCCAAGGTCAACTGGTTCAAGTTTAAAAAGTGAGGTTCTTTAGCTGTTTGATGAATTTGTATTCACCAAATGTGACCTTTTCAAGAGGCCTGTAGTATTTTCAAATCTGAACCATAGGAAATTTTATGGTACTTTGATTAAAATTTTTCCCATAAGCATCAAGGAGGGCTTACATAGGTCATTATTTCACAGAAGTATTAACTACGCACAAAGTAGCCCTCGTTCAATTCTTAGGTTTGTGAAGATAAAGTATCATAGAGTCTTTCATTTAAGTGATTTGGAAAATAAACCCAAGTGGCTCGGCGCCTGTG